GGAAAACTTGCTCGACATCAGAGTGCTATTTCCTGAAGTGTGTTATATAGGTTTGGGTGCATGTTACAAATATGTCCCTGAAAATGAGCACGATAGGGCCCCTTTAAATTCAATGCTTAATCTTTCTTTTCTTTTCCCCATTCTCTTTGCTAAACAACTGAACATGTGATTCCTCAAAGGACTTTGTGCATATTCAATCATCTATTTACAGCATGTGTGACCAGATGGTTGAATCCACACTGATACCACATGGTCATTTTTGAGAGGAGGACAGGAAAGGAAAAGGAGGCAGGGAGAGATAGGAGTTGCATTGTGTGTGTGAGGAAGAAACCACACCCCTCTCTTCTTCACTCTCTTACTCTCTCTGCTTTTATCACTTGTTTATTCTTCACTGCTTTTGCAATGACATTAAAATAACCTATTGTTTTCAATAGTGATTGCCTCGCAGATCTTCCCCAAACAACAAGAAATCCTTTAAAAAGCCTCTCAGAGAAACACTTAAACATTCCCTGAGGAAGAATTACAAGCCTGAGGGGGATGAACACAATGGCGCTGCATTCGTTTTATTGATCAGGACAGAGAAAAGCAGCCACGGCAGCCTCTGTATGATTACAGCTAGCTTTGTTCTGATTTGTGCAGTCGGTAAATGAATCAAGGTGGGTGGGAAGATTTTCAAATGTACCATCACACAGTAGCCACTCGAAAAATCAAATAGCGATTAATCTTTTGATTATTTTGTCAATAACATGATGAATTGTTTGGCCTATTAAATGTCAGGAAGCAGAACAAAGTCAATCCTCATAAGTGAGAAGTTGTAACAGGAATGGTTGTCGATTACACTGGAAAAAAGACTTCAATGATGAATAAATGATCAAGATGGATGATTCATTTAGTCCAGATTTGCACATCCTACAATTAGCATCTGGTTATTTGAAACACTGCAGGTTTGTGATATGATTTCTCTCCTCAGTACATCAGGTTAGGTTTCCAGCGTTGTGATGTCAGAAAGCACTTACTCAAGAAGAGTGAGTGGACTGGAGACGAAATCAATAGGGGGAAAATCGAAATAAGTTTGTATGTCAGTGACTGCAGGCCAAGACTCTCTGTCTTGTCTGCTAGGAACCAGTGAAAAGTACTCAGTCTTTATACTTTGTCATCAAAATGTACTTAAAGGGACCCTATTATGCTCATTTTCAGGAGGGAGCTTTGGGATTTTAGCCTTTGCAAACCATTTACATGCACACAAACCTATATAACACACTACAGGGAAGGGACCAGAGCATAATAGAGCCCCTTTTTAAATAACAAAAGTAAAAGTACTCGTGATGCTTATCGTTCCATTTCAGAATCATATTTATTAAAATACTGGATTATGATTATTGAAGTATTAGTTAATAATCTGAAGGTGTATATGAACTAAATCTGTCAGGCAAATGTAGTGGAGTAAAGACAAGAGTACAATCTTGTCTTAAAGAATGTACTGTTAAAACTGGGAAAATAAAATGAAAATACTAGTACCTAGGGCTGTGCAATTAATCGTATATTAATCTCGATTACGATTTTGGCTTGCAACGATTACGAAAACAATGTAATCGAAATAAAACAATTATTATTTTTATTAAAAAAAAAAAAAAATGTAATTATTATTTTTTTTAATTATTTTTTTTATTGGTTTTTCAGTTAAATTATACTTAAAGTTCAGGGTAATCAACTGTTCAAAACATTTTTTTCAATAAATGGATGTTTTCAAAGTAAATGGATAATCGTTTGTAATAATCGTGATATCAATTATTGACCAAAATAATCGTGATTATGATTTTTGCCATAATCGCACAGCCCTACTAGTACCCCAAAATTGTAATAAAGTGCAATACTTGAGTAAATAATAAATGTGCGTGTGTTTGTGTGTGTGAGTCGGAGCTCTGACTAATGGCTGCTCTGGCATCATATGCTGATGTTACGAACGCTTTCAGTTTGGAAACCCAGTAACACAACATATGCGGCTTAATACACTCATTTGTCCAGGCGCACACACTGTACCTTCTGCTTTCAATTAGCGGGGTCTAAGAGAGTCAAATCAAGTGAAACAAGAGGCCCAAACTGTTGCAAAAATGTGCATATTGCTGGCAGAAAAAAACGTGTGAAGTGTACACAAAGCGGTGTGAAGTCTATGAAAAAATGACCCTACTTCTCACATGATTTATAACCCCAGTAAACATTGTATAATGAGTGTAGGCCTTCTTCAGTGCGGTGTGATTGATTTTTAAATGAAATTCCAATTTAGAGTAAATTCACTTAAAGACATGTTACATTTGTATTGATTCTACATCAGTAATCTGCCTAGTTCCTATTTTGAGAGACGTTCACTTATTTCTAAAAACCTTCCTGAAACAAGGTGGAAGTGATTCTTCTTTTGCACTTCTTCACCTAAATGAATACAATGAAACAATCTCATGTCTACATAACCTTTGATACAAAGGGTCACAGATATGTCAAACTCATTAGCCAATGAAAACCCCAGGGACATTTGCCACTTCTAACACTGGCCTGATTCAAGGCTTTTCAACAATGACACTTGTGTAATACAAGAAATAGATTGACTGACATTTATTCCCTCTATCAAGAGATCACATGCTCTGATTTATAAGAAAAGGGAAAAGGCTTTTTGTCCCCATTTGCTTTTTTCCTTTCTTGTTCTTATGTCTTGTTTTGACAGGATTTGTGGGGGGGTTTCTGAGGAGTCCTTGCATTTTCAAGGTGGATGTATTTTATCATTAGTGTTTGTAAAGAAGCTGTCATCCCTCTCATCAGTCCTCATGTCACTCCCTGTCGGCTGTTGCTCATCACTCGAGCTACAGCAGCACAATGTTCCCTTGTTTTTCAAGATGAACAAAAACGAGCAGGAGGTGGCCCTGTCCTTGATAAGCAGCGGAGAAACAAACGCACACAGACAGAGAGAGAAACAAACACACACAGACGCAAAGAAACAAACACACACGGATGCAAAGAAACAAACACACACAGACGCAAAGAAACAAACACACACAGATACAAAGAAACAAACACACACAGATACAAAGAAACAAACAAACACACACAGACGCAAAGAAACAAACACACACAGATACAAACAAACACACACAGATGCGTACGCACAAATTCAAACACGCACTGCTTTGCATAGAAACCCACACACCTACAAACATGCAATCAGTGGCAGCCGCACAATCAGAAATAACCAACACACGCACGCACGCTAACGCACACGCACACACTTCTGAAGACACCTTGGGGTATAATTCAGGCAGTGACAGCCTAAATGAAACATTATTTTCCAGGACAGATTAGCAGGAGACGATGAAATCCATCAGCACATTTCTTCTTGCTCATAGGATGAAAAGGCTTAGACACACACCTGTCAAAGAGACCTGTTATTACAGTACACATTATAGACTTGTGATGGCAACCTGAAATAAAAGAGGCTCTATTATGCATTTTGGGGTTTTCCCTTTCGTGTAGTAGGTTATATAGGTTTGTGTGCCTCCATTGGACTCCTTGGTTTACTTCAATAACATAGTGACATCACTATGTAACACTTGCACTTCTATTGGCTAGCGCTCCAACACATTGTAGGCTAAGGGGTAGTACAGAGGAGCTTTTTGAACATTAAAGCATGTAAACAGGTCACAGTAGAGACACTAATATGAACCTGAAAATGAGCATTATACTATATCTTCTCTTAAGAGATATTTTGCCTTGTTGGTAGGCAGCTCTTATATTTGGCGCTGTCCATGCACCTCAGCATAATTTGTATATTGTTATTCAACAGTGTAGCTACATGTTTCATAACTGTGAAGGATCCCCTTGGCAGAAATATTTAAACTCCTACATTAAAGCATTCCCGCTTCACTGCAGAACCTGGAACCTTCTCTAGTGGTGGATTGGATGTTTTTCTCAGTGCGTGGGTTAATATTTGTGTGTGTGTGTGTGTGTGTGTGTGTGTGTGTGTGTGTGTGTGTGTGTGTGTGTGTGTGTGTGTGTGTGTGTGTGTGTGTGTGTGTGTGTGTGTGTGTGTGTGTGTGTGTGTGTGTGTGTGTGTGTGTGTGTGTGTGTGTGTGTGTGTGTGTGTGTGTGTGTGTGTGTGTGTGTGTGTGTGTGTGTGTGTGTGTGTGTGTGTGTGTGTGTGTGTGTGTGTGTGTGTGTGTGTGTGTGTGTGTGTGTGTGTGTGTGTGTGTGTGTGTGTGTGTGTGTGTGTGTGTGTGTGTGTGTGTGTGTGTGTGTGTGTGTGTGTGTGTGTGTGTGTGTGTGTGTGTGTGTGTGTGTGTGTGTGTGTGTGTGTGTGTGTGTGTGTGTCCCCTCAGTGGCCATCAGTAACATGTATTGGGTTAATGTGTGTCAACCACTGAAACTGCCCACTGAGCCCGGGTTGCGGTTGACACACACACAGCTTGTGTGCACCTGCCTTGGTTACAACCAGATGTTTGAAAAGAGGAATTAGTAGTTTTTGCCTCTGTGTAGTTTCATTTTTGTATTAATCCAAAGTGCAAAATTAGCATTGAAATAAAGAAAAATCGATTCACTAAATTGAAAAAGAGGCCTGAACTGATGACCTTGAGTGTGAGTATGCGCTAGATTGATGTGAACTCTTGTCTACCTACTCTATTTATGATCTGGATTCAATTAAATTGGGCTTAGTAATCTTAAGGCTGAATCCTTACAGAGCTCTATTGCACACACACACACACACACACACACACACACACACACACACAGGTCATACATGTAGCTGCCTTTCTAGTCTTTGTAAATGTGTCTGTTAAGTAACAACACATTCACATTACAAACACAAATCATCTGCATTTGACAAAAATAAGTTTTCTTAGCTTTATTATAAATGATTGTTTCTGTCTAAAGCACAGAGTGGAATACAGTAAATGTGAATAAATAAAGATATTATTGATTTATATTCCTAATTTATGACTTTCTTTCCTTCCTCTCAGGACCCAAGGGCAAAGCATAAGTTTAAGATCCATACCTACTCCAGCCCGACCTTCTGTGATCACTGTGGCTCTCTGCTGTACGGCCTGCTGCACCAGGGCATGAGATGTGACCGTACGTACACACACACATCCACAAGCCTCACTGTCTGTGATTGATCAGGTTTCCATTAGCAAACACACACTGCAGCATTTGATATTCCATATACAGGTTGTGTCCAACTCAGTGTAAATGTAATTGCTTTTAAACAGCCCTTCTAGAAAATAAATATAATGTAGTCTTTGCTTGTCACCACTCACATATGTTTATAACACACTGTTAATTTCTACATCTGTTTATTCCACATAATTACTACAGGATGTATTCTAATGTAGAGAATGTAATTTAACATTCTGATTATCTGAAAAAACATTAAATATTTTTTAAATGTGTGTGTTTTCCAGACTGTATGATGAACATCCATAAGCGCTGTGTGGCCAATGTGCCGAGCCTGTGTGGGACAGACCACACCGAGAGGAGAGGTCGCCTCCAGATCACCGCGGAGGTCAAGACCAACGTACTCACTGTCACCAGTAAGTATATCTATCCATTAACACACACTCACACACAGCTATAAGACACCGCTGTGTGTTCATGTTCTGCAACACTAGTCATCTGCCTCCCTCTACTGGAAGATCTGCAGAGGTACAGGATGGGTGCAACAGATGTTACATGAGATAAAACTTAATCTCTTTTTATTCTGTGTCCGTTACAAGTTTAATTTCAGCAAACAGATGCAGATAGAATTTCTACTTCTTTACTAATATGTTGATTAGAATTGAATGTCAATACATGCATCAGTACAAAAGTACATAAAGCTTACATTGGTTTCAAAGTAAATCATTACAAATACTAAATATGCTGACTAATAGAACTGCTGGCCTTTTTCGACCATCTGACCTTAGAAATTGAACAAATGTCCTGTAAATATGATTATTACCGTGGTTACTCAAGAATGAATGAACTACACTGTGTTGTCGGAGTCGGGAGGGCTGTTAATTTATTCCGGCAAATTACTCGGACCTACTAATTGACCTAATAAAAGCTATTGAGTCCATGTAAGTTTACTGCTTGGCTCAGACCCACCAACGTCAGCAAGATCTCACCTCTACTAACTCCTGAAGAACCAGGTTCAATTAACTGCGGTTTCAATTCAGACGACCCGCTAAATCTGTTTAAGCGATCCCGAAGGATTTTTGATATCAGTAATGAGGTGTAGCCCTATACTAAGTGTGAGTTGTGGCAGATGTGCATTTCTTACCTTTCAAGCAGGAGAGGAGGGCGCAGATTTCTTTTAAGTTGTCCCAATCCAAAGGGTGGGATCAGTTTATTTGAAGAAAAATTGGTCCACACTTGTACAGGGTTTTTACAAAATGACAATCATACAAAACATATCATGCTGTGGTTAGGGTCTGACAACATTCAGAGGCAGTTCCTCATAAATGGTCAGTAATAATTCACACAACCCAGAGGAATCTCCTCATGAATCGAGAGTGCTAACCATTCACACCTAGAGTCCGACAACATTTAGAGACAGTTCCTCATAAATGGTCAGTGGGATCTAACAGTTTCAAACTTTCATTCAACAATTCACTCGGCATTCAACAAATCAATTCACATCAATTCATATCCACACCTAGTCCAGCATGAATTCGGAGGAATTTCCTCACAGGTGGCTGGGTGCTAAACATTCAACAAAGAAATTCACTCAGCATTCAACAAAGAAATTCGAGAGATATTTACCAAGTTTGAGAGAACCTTACCGAGGAAAAACCCAGCTCTCGGGAGAGAGCTTTACCAGGGAAAAACCCCCCTCTCCAGAGTTAGCTCCCTCTCAGCCAGTGTTTTTATGCTCAAAACAGGACAGAAAAACCTAAAGACACCTCCTACATACCCATATTTGTGGAAAATGGGCATGGCCTCTGATGTGCAGGACGGGACATGTCCAGACCTATTCTATGGCTATGGCATAAACACATTTTTGGGGCCTTAGTAGTCTCCAACAAGTCAGGAGCCCCCCCCCCTGTGTAAGGGAAGAAACTGTCTCCCCTCTCTTATCAGTGACACCCATAAACTAAAATAGGCCTTAAACCTAACTTAACAAACCTCTTGTGTTTTGAATATACTGTGATTATAGAAAAATATAAAATATTTGATTATAATTAACTTTCGTTTTAATTACTCAACCTAATATGGAGACCTCAACAGTGTCCAACCATCAAACCGCAAACATTGTCATCGCAACACATTTTTCAAACGTTATGGAGGTTAGTGTATAGCAGGGGTCGGCAACCTTTTTGATATGAAGTGCCATTTAAAAAAAAAAAAAAAATTGTTATCAGCGTGCCAACGATCGAGAATTATCAACGGGTGGGGGAGGGGGGGTCGTAGAGGAACTTGACGCTCGTGAACTATCAACAGGAGGGCGGGGGGAGCCTCGCTGCGGGGAAGCAGTGTGTGGACCTGTCAGCGCAACTTACATGATACCGAATTTAACAAACACATTTAAATAATTGGTTTAAATGGCATAATAATAAGGACGATCGTCCGTTCTGTAATTCTCCAGAACACACATGTTATGATATTAGGGTCATGCAGAGTGAGATGAGATCGCTGTCCCTTTAAGAGAGAGAGAGAGGGGTGTGGCGTGTGCATGTGTGTGTGTGTGTGTGTGTGTGTGTGGATGGTAGAGCGAGAGTGAGCGAGCGTGTGTATGTTTCTGGAAGTGAAACGAGGCAGCAGAAAAACAGAGGTCTGTGATGTATTTTGTGAAACAGAAGAACAGCTAAATAAATGCAACGGCCTCCCAAGAAGAGCTCGCCTCTCTCCAGTCATTTAAGCTAAAGTGGGTTATTGAACCTGAAGCTCGTTGCTTCTGCCCTCCTCGACTACGGTCTGGGAGCCGACAGGAAAGTTCAACACACAGATGGCCAGTCCGCCCCTTTGTAGCATATTATTTCAATGAGAGATGAGCAGATCGCCACTGGGCTTTCAACTAAAGACACAGCCACGCAAAAACTGCGGCATTTGTAAAGCTCCTTATGAGTACTGCAATTTGTGAAGTGCTTTCCTCTGTGGTGAAACGATCAGCACTGCACCACGGAGGAAAGCGGCAGAAAGTCACCTGGAGTTAAAGAGAGCAGGGCTGCGCTGCGTGCATGGCTTCCTTCTGCAGGTAACGGGGAGACGCGCTCTGGCGGCGGTCTCGTTCAGGATCCGAAAATACAATTTAAATATTTTGCACACTTATTCCACTTATTCCTAGTGTGCCACTGGTTACGGTGCCGCGTGCCAATGATGGCACGCGTGCCAGGGGTTGCCGACCCCTGGTGTATAGGATGGATATGTTGACTTGTTGCTTTCAGCAAAAGATGGTCAGCATCTGTGCATTAGGAATGTTATTGAAGGCAAAACTGATTTTGATGATATGGTTAGAGTTGTTTTTGCTTTTGAATTTCTTCTTGTGTTCTGGTTTATTAAGGCTTGTTTGTAGTCCGTCAGTATTTCCAGTATTATTTTGTTGTGGTGATGGTTGAATGTTGTTCCAAAGTAGGCAGTTGCTACCCAATATAGTCTGTTAATATTTTAGGATGTAAAGATGTTTCTAGAAGTCTCTTTATCTATACGTTTAGTTCATCATTTGCAGTTAAAAACATCATAAAACAAATAATTATTTCCAAGAAATTAACAACATACGACCGGATGTTTGTTGTAAGTATTTTTTCTACAAGTCAATTGATTTATATTCACTTAATTTCTTGCCTGAACACGTCTTATACAAATGCAGGCTACAGTAGCTTCTTTCCTCGAGAGAGTTTCCTGACCTGCCTAATTTTTTATTTATATGATAAATAAATGAGAACAGTGTCACCACCTACTTTCTACTTTACCTGTAGTTCCTTGTCTTACCTGCAGGTGGCGGCAAAGGTTTAATTTAAGTTTGCTGTGTGCCTGTCTACTCAATTACAGCTGTGCCTCAAACAGAAATCATCAAACTTAAATGATGTAGAACTCACTTTTAGCCGGACATTTCCTTCCCTTTAATTCAATGGCACGTACAAAAAGGAGAGTCTGTTCTCTGGTGGTGAATGAGCTGGTTTCACATAAACACCTGGTAAAGTATTTACAGTTATTCACATCTCCAAAATCTGACTGCATTTGAATATATTAGTTAAATACCCAGCTGCAGTGTACATATACATTTTTCTACACCTTCAGATTTCCCACTATTTTCTCCCAAGCGCTAGATAACTCCGTATAGTAGATATTTCCTGGAAAATGGAGCCATGGCTTGAATTTGCCCAAATGTATTGGATTACTTTTTGGCAGAGAGTTACAAAAGTAATTACTGACTAAATACAATTTACTTTGATTGTGGATCTATGAAAGTTAAAGCGATTTCTTCCTGTTTTAAATAAAACAAATGGATTTCCAATTCTGCTACAAAAGAGAGAAATGATTGATGCCTCTGGGATTGCACTTCATATATAATCAATAAACACAATCGGTTCATCATTAAACATTGAAACAAAGTCTCCAATAACAAAACCGTTCTGATAACTTTTGGATGTGCTAATTTCTGCTTGTATAAGCATTTTCCCTTCATGGTCTATTGCTGGGGTTCATCCCTCTTTTTCCTTCTTACTCTCTCTTCCTGGTTCTCACGCTCGTATACTGATCATTAGCTGGGATTTACTGTGAGAAATGATAAGAGCAGACTTATCACACACACACACTGCTAGCAAATCAGTGCTACAGAATAGAAATATAACTAAATTGAGCCGAATAGCAGAAACTGTCAAGAAAAATGGAAATCTAATGATCTTATTTAATCTATTGTATTAATATCTGTCAGTCTGTCTCCAATGCATTAACATTATTGTCCAACTAGCAAGGATTTTGCATTTTTTTGTGCCAAAACACACATTAATTGTGTGTTAAATTCCTGATTTTAGGTAGCTGTTATACAAACCTCTTCATGTTCTGTGTGGTAATAGTGGACAGGCTAGGAGGCATTTGGAGGTGTAGTACTCTTCTCTGTCCACAGGGGTCAGTGTGGAGCCACTAGTAGATTACTCCCACATTGCAGTAAGGTTAAAAAAGAAAAAAAAAGAAAACACCACCACAGAGAATGAATTTTAGAAGCACTCAGAATTATTCCACAGCTTAACGTAGCAGGAGCTGGTGGAAATGGCTGCCACACTGAGAAATGGAGAATGCACTAACTATGGATTTAATCAAAGCAATTGACATGGCTGTAAAGTGACACTGTATTGATCACTTTTAAGTCACATCCCTCCCCTTTCACTGGGGGATCAAAGCTCACACGGCCCATAGAGATGCAGGATCAGCATCGAGCTCAAGGACAAGGAGCAGGCAGCAGGCAGTGGGACGTGGGATCGGGGCCTTAAAGGTGCCCCCTTCCTTTAGTGCTGCACATTCTGCCTGGTGGATTTATAGCTGGATATCTGAAAGGCAGGGTGGGAAAAACAGTTGTCATAGAGATGGGTGGGTGCTTATTGTTTAAAGAGGC